AATCAAGGTAGGGATATAATACCATACGTTTTATTTTTTTTTTCTTGGTTTAATATGTCAACTTTATTTCTATATGTGTACGTATTCTTTTCAATAACAAATGAATTGTTCAGAAAATTCGAATTCGGGTATTTTTAAAATGCTTATTGCAACGATAACCCGACCTTTGGCATGATATTTTTACCCAACCTTTGGTAGGGTATTTGAAACCATTCTTATGGTAGGTTATCAGGCCTTTTGCATTTTAACCTCATCTTTGTGGATATGGGCAATAAGTACTGGAAGAGATCAATTTAAATTTGACTAATGTGATGTGTAATCTGGGCTGAATTAAACGCAATTGTTTTTACTATTTAAATAATTCGCAGTGTAAAAGCAGAGGTGTTTCACTAACAGGGTGACACAGAACTAATAATTTGACACAGCTGCGACACACCTTGTTATTGCTGTCATTGTAAAACTTTGAAGAAAAAAACACAACATTACGTCAAAACAACTAAATTTTTCTTCTTTGATTAGCCAAAGATTTTTATAACAAGACTTGTGATTAATTAAGAGTGAAAAAGCAGAATTCCTCCTGTTAATTGTCGTTCTACAGAAATATTGTGCAATATTGTGATTACAGTAACCGAGCTGCCTCTATAATCGATTGGTGCAACTTGTCGAGACGTTGGTTTGTTGCTTTTGCCCTCGTTCAAAGTGTCATAGCTGTCTTCTGGCAGGGGAGAGTGAGTAATGGCAGAATCAATAGTCCAAGATTGGCTTTCGGATTTTCAACGTTTCCAGGGTCAACCGGAAGAGATCAAAGAGTTTGCCGCCGAACATGACACTGAGTCGGAAATCGCTGAGGTTATATTCACCATACTCAACGAACGTCAGCGCCACGAATCATTGGTCCATGATATATGCCAGCAATTGTTGGCCTTCTATCGCAGCACGGAAAAGACATTGCAAAAGTTTCCCCTTCAATTTATACCTGTTCTAATCTATACGTACCTGCGTGCCGTAGCCGGTGGTGATAAGAAGGGCGTACGTAGCCTAGAAACCCTGCTCATTTGCATTTACAATGGAGAGGTGTCCACAGACGATGGCAGTCCAAGAATAGTACAATTTCGTATGCCAATACTTGCGCAAGCCTCAGTATATCACGAGGAGAAGAATCTGCCAATGACTGATTTGAGGCGGTGGGAGGAGAATTGCAATCGAGAGGTAAAATGGGGACCCCATCCGAGAATTGAAGCAATAACAGCCCAGAACCGCCTGAGAATAATGACGGCATTATTATTTTGCTACAATCAACAAGTTAGTTTAACGCAAAAATCGGCATTAATTTATTTGTGTCGGGTAGCCTCTCAATTGGTCACCGAAGGTTTTACTTCGAAAATGACACATGCTCACAGGATCTCATATGGGTAAGAAAATAATTAGTTGAACAACAGATAGCTAAACTAAATAGTCTGTTAATAAGGGTTGTTTGATCACGTGTTGATTCATTGCTAATTAAGTTTGTGACCTTTAGCCAAAGAGTAAACTATGCCCTGCTCGAGATTTATTGTAATGATCTAAGCAATAGCTAGAAATGTTCTGAAAATTATTATTTTCAATGACCATTTCAAAAAGTGAATTTTCGCATGATCTGTAGGAAACAACAAAATTATATATATACTCAAAAAGTGAGGAAGAACTGTATAACAAAATATGTAGTTCATCTCATTGGCTGGTAAAATGTACTTTGAGTATACAATATTCGTGATGTACACTTAAACATTACTTCATATAAGATACTTACAAACATTACAGACACCTGCTAATCATGCAATATTTGTCACTACAAATGTCATTGTCATTATATGATTGATTGAATGTGGTATTAATTTTAAGGTAAATATATATGAGAACTATATCCAAATCTGAACCGATCTCGATAAAATTTGGCAAATATATTTCTGAGCCGTATTTGATATATTTCCCCAAATATTGTTGTTGCAGAGTGCATATTACGGCAGCGGTGGACAAAAATAACAAATCGGATGAACAATATATATATGGGAGCTATAGCTATATCTGAACCGATTTCGATCAAATTTGACATGTATATGCAAAATTCCATACAATTCGGGCTGATATTACACGTTTGGTGCACAATAAAAGGCAAATCGGACGAAGATATCTCCAATTTCAATAGGGTTCGTCCTTTGGCCAAACAAATGATCTGTGCAAAATTTCATCTGGATCGGGCAATAAATGTAACTCGTACTTTGTTTACAAAAATACATGGACAGACGGACGGACGGACATGCATAAATCGACTCAGAATCGACTCCTTTTGCCTGTTACAAACAAATGCACAATGACATAATACCCTGACCACCTTGTGGTGTAGGGTATAAAAAATAGAATTGTTGTTTTCTTACGACATGCCTTAGCAGAACCGAGGTATATTGCATATACCTTAAAGAAGCCCTAATATTTAACAATATTAATATTTTGATCAGTTTTTTTAATTTGTTTACATTTCCTTTTACAGTACATTAACAATTCAGCAGACTAATTTTATGTGCTTCTGAATCTCAATTCCAATGTCTCTCAAAATTAGAATATTGTTAATCGAAGAACATGGAAAATGGATTAGCTAGTTATAGTTTATGTGTTAGAAGTATTTATTGTTAAATTTTTATGATATACAATTATAATAATTGAAGTTATCGTTTTAAATATGAAAAAATGCAATTGAATTGCTGCAGTTTTTGAAAGATAAATCAAACAACCTTTATTTTATGATATTATCAATGCTTATTACAATGAATATATTGCATTTTTTATTTACGCTAATCATAACAATTAAACTTGTCTCTCATTTAAGCTCCGATCCATCACTAATGCCCAAATCAATGATACCACGCATTCCGTTATCCTCAGCATTCCTAGTGGAGTTAGTGCATGCCATTTATTTCGCCATGTTTAACGGCTTTGGTACAGTAGCCATCCAGACTCTGGAAGATATACATAATCGGGCATGTTTTGAAATGTATACGGAATTGATATTGATCACGAGTGCTATTCGCAATTCTCTGCATGCCAATCCTTCGGGACAGCCCAGTGATGGACCAATGGGTCTCAGTGTAGCTCTAACACCATCCACCAATACCGTTACCACCGCTGTATCTAAATCAATGATTACAAATGCATCATTCCGTACGAAAAAGTTACCCGACGACATACCCATTCAGGTGCAAGATTTAACAATGCCTCAGGCGCCACAACAATTGGCCAGTGTCACGGAGGAAACTGCCGAACAAACGCAAAATGCTAAAGAGTCAACGAGTCAGCAGGGCTCAAGAAATTCAATAATACGTCCCAGCATGGAGGGCATTAAGGCTCAGGCTCACAAGGCTTTAATTGCAGGCTTTAAAAAATCGAAAGACAAAGAGAAGGATAAAGATAAGGATAAGGACAAGGAAAAGGATACCACGAAATCATCAGTTCATCAAACTAATGGCAGTGCAACGACAAATAGTGCAGACAATATTAAACCACCGCAACGAAAATTAGACAAACATATGCAACGCAATTCACTGCTTCAGTTGCAAATGGAGGGCTCAACGGCAATGGACTTTGAAAAAAGCCCTGGCCCTACGACCAAATCTAAAAACTATGATTCTATAGACACCATGGAAATGCTGCCCATGCAATCATTAATGGCCAATGAAAGTGGCAGTAATAGTTTTAGCATTGACAGTGATTTGAATGGTGGCACTGCAGTCGGTGTGATGTCGGGTGGAAGTGGTGGTGTGGGCGGCATTGGTGGTATCAATGTTGGTAGCACAGGAGGATTAGGCAATAATAGTAATAACAATAGTACAACCACCACCACAAGCAGTGACCTATTAACGACAAAAAGTTTTGATTCCAGTATTGAAATGCCAGCCATTGTTAATGCGACGACCGTTGTAGGGGGTGCTAAAACGACGAGTGATACTAACATGGATTAGTGACTTTCTAAGGCTTCCAGTAGCCGACACTGGCTATTTAAATTGCAATCAACAAAGAAAACCCCCAAGCGATAAACCATAAGAATAAAGAAACATGTTATAAAATGAAGCATCATTGATGCGTGCTATAGTTAAGGAATAAGCAAAGCAAAAGATGAATACACTAAAATATAAAAAAATAACAAATGGTTGAATGTTAGAGCTTTTAAGTGGAGCAGTGTGTCACATTTCTTTTGTAAAATGAAAAGCACATCCAATGGAAAAGAAATCTGTCATAGCGTTGTGGGAAAAGTTCTGCTTTTACATCATGAAATGTAAATACATGTGTATTTAATAAATAACACATTATTCGTAACGCAACAAGTATTTCTTGATTGGTAGTTATTTTCATACTTTTGTTATTGTGCCAATTAATGATGAATCATTTTACTTTGCATTTGTTTTAGTAAATTTCGTATCAACAGTTTTAGAATTTGACTATCGTTAGAAAAGCACCGCTCCACAGTGTTTTTTCTTTATTTTTTTTTTATCACACCACCTTTTATGTATTTGGCATTACATTCTGTGCTAATATTACTAAACTGCAAAGTAATTTAGTTTTTATTTCTTTCTATTTTTTCATTGAATTGTTATTTAGGTGTAAATTTATAATTTCCCAAGGCACTACTCACAAACCGCATCCAATAAAACTAAATATACTTTGAGTATGATATATTTTAAAAAATATAAATACTTCTTTGTTAGTATGTGTACGTTTTAAAATTTTTTAAAATAACGGAACAGATTCTTAGAATGCTCACTGTACCTTTGTCGGTTAAACTGGTACTATATCTTTCCCTAAATTTCTATTCTATCTTCCTCTTAATTTTAAGTAAAAATTGTGAAGTACATAAATGAAAAGCGTTTAATAATCATTGTATATTTTTATTGTTTGTTTTCTTGTTCTTATACTTAAAAAATTAATAAATATATTTATGTAATTCTTAAACTTATAACAAATTCGTTATCAATGTATAAATAAATTAAAACGGAAATAATGATGATAAATAAACAAATTATTCATTCACATAACCACAGAAAGGCATGTCTCTCCTTATTAAATTGGTTTATATAAGTTTCAATTACAATTTATAAATGAAACAATTCCATGTTGAAAAGAGATTGAAAAACAAAGTGAATCCAAGATCTCAAACTCCTTACTAACATATAGTCCACGCCCTGTTTAGAAATTGGTAAGAAAAAAAATACTATGTTGCGTTCATTAACCAAACATATACATATTAACTTTTGGGCAAATTATAAAAATAAATGTTCTCTTTCGAAAGGTCAAAATGCATGTTTTTACGCATATATTTTTTATCAAAAGTTTTGAGTAGTTTAAACGATCTTTTCGGAAATAGAAGATTTGTACTTATTTAATTCAGATGAATTTAATACAAAAAAGTATTTCGCATTGGTTTTATGCAGTATTTTTATTGGCTATAAAAGGACAATGATATCACACGAACTTTTCAGATATTTTGATAATTTAAGACCAAATATTTAGAAGTTCTGGAATTAATTGCAAACATTCATCTATATGCAGTAGCTATTGTTGAAATGATTTTAACAACCATATAAATCATTTATTTTTTCTATTTGTCCAAAAATACATTATTTTATATAATATACATTTGTGAATAATTGAATTGTTAATTAATTTTACTCTAGCAAGTTCTTGTATTATTTTGAGCATTAATCGAATAAAACAAATATGAATACAATAAATAAAAAATATCTATGTAATTGTGTGCATAATTAAAGAAAATAATAAATGACCAGATATGATAGATAACAATACATACCTATTCTGTAATCTAAAGCCGACTAATAATGAAAATCATATATGTATTTATTGAAATGTTAATTACAATTACACCAAATCATGTTACATATTATCAATTAAAATAAAATAAAGAAATGGAAATTATAATCTACTAAAAATAAACTGTCAAGAGAAAACTATATATTCAAGTAAACAATTATTGCCTTTTTATTTGGTCTTTACGACTATAACTTACGGAATTTGCCTTGTAGAAAAATACGAGGTACATCGATACCTTCTTTTACATTAAGTGTACGACGATGTACGTACGAATTTGCCATTATCTCAAAACCATTTTCTCTAAATAAATTTGATAATTCCTGTTCGGCAAAATAATAACTTCGAGTACCATCTTGGCGCATGTAGAAATTATCGGAAATTTTATGTCCAGACTTAAATCTGAGCTGTGCCATGTCGTAGCGACCATAATCCCGAAATAGTACAATGCCACCAGGCTTAAGTATAGCGCGAAGATTTTTAATCACTGCATCGAATTTACAGGGTGAAATAGCAGACAGAACAAATATCATTGATATTATATCTATGCTTTCGGGGGGAATATTTTGATGAATTGAATTCGTCGTTATATCGCATTGAAAGGCTTTAATACGATCCTCATTGTACTTTGGATTGGAACGAACAAATTCCACGGCCCGGGGAGAAAAATCACATGCATAAAAATAGTTATTTTTCTGTCCTAGAGATTCGAGTTCTTCCATTAAAGGAAACACAAAATTTCCAACTCCGCAACCCACTTCCAATAGTTTTCTGCACTCATTTCCCTCACCCAATGGCAGGGAGGGATAGTCGTTAATTAATTCTTGAAATTCTCTCGTTGTCCATCGACGATCTTTAAAGAATCTAGTTTCATTACGTTTATAGAAGAGGTCCCAATGTTTTTGTGCCTATGGAGAACATGGAAACAGCAGTAGCTATTGTTATTACACCTGAATCAAGGATTCATAACTGGCTTTTTACCTGTGCTTCTAATTGCCGAGCCTTGAACTCCGGTATTAAACGTTTATTCTGCTCTTCCAATTTCTGTTTCTCGTCATCAGTAAGAGACTTTTCTGCACACGTAAATACATCATCAATGAACTGTTCATTTGTATTCTCCTCCATTTCACTCTATTTACAAACAAATTCACGTTCACGTTTCCATTAGGGATGCAAATGTGCTCTATTGACTAATCGATTGTTCGAAATTAATAACAAAATATCGGTAATGAAAATAGGCAATTTATCGTTTTTGGTTTCCAGTCTTTCGGCATATGATCCTGTTTTGATAATGCAAGCATTGGAGATTGTTCTGTTGTTCATTTTTTGCTCTGTTCAAGTACCTGCAAGAATCCCCTAGTTTGCAATTTTTTCGATATCATAAAGGAAAAATCGGTTATCATAGTAAAAACTTTCACATTCTTGCAGTTCTGGAACAGACCAATTGTTTCCAACTTTTAGATAACCGACAATAAAGGGCAAAAGTCTCGCATTCGGTATCAAACAAATTTCGTTTGCAAACATCAAGTATTCGCTTTTTAGACTGATGAAAATGATTGCCTGCAATAATCTACGAATTTTGGATTTTTTCTCGGCATCATGAAGGAAAAATGGGAAATATTTTCACATTCTTACTCTTTTCCAGAACTTAGAAAAAAGTTTCTATGACAATAGAATACCAACATATTACTGGCACTCCAAACTTTTCCGTCCCCCAAGAAAAAAACACTTGCTTAATCAGAGTAAAAATATCTACTCCTTGGAAAAATTATTTTATTTTAATAAATCTTGTTACTTTTTAAACTTTCCAACATATTTTGCAACACATATTTAATGACGCGAAAAAAGAACGCAATTTGGGGAAAGTAATTCACGCAGTTAAAATAAAAACGAACTTTATAGAGATCCACGAATATATTCAAATTCCCGGATTTAATCGATTTCCAAGTACATTAATGGTAATAATTCCCTCCATCAATAATTTTCTTTTTATCTCCTCGACATGTTTTTCTGCATACTGCTCGAAGTTTTCATAATGATGATTCATTGCGATAAGCTGTTGATATTCAGAAATTCCACAATTGTGTGGTTTCGCTTCTAGGAGTCGAATTTGTGTTTCACACTTTTTCCTACCTAGCTCCAAAAAAAAGGCATCTAATTTCAATTGTGTGTTTTTGGCGAATACTGTCTTTAGGTTCATTTCCTGGGAAGCTGATATCTCCAATAAAGCACGTGCAGCCTTCTCGTAGTCGGAACAGAGGCTCTTGAGTTTTCTATCCATTTGTCTTATTGCTTCCATTGTCAAAATAATTATGTTCTTTGTCAAGCTTAAAATTAAGTTTCTGCAACGAACGACACGCCTTGCTTCCACGAACTACTTTTTCGGTGATTCCCCTGTAACAAGAAATTTCGACTAAACGATATCAAAAATAAATAGTTGTTGAAGATCGACTAATCGATGTTTGCATTAAGAAAACAATCTAGCTTATAGCATGTTTCCATTGGAAACCGAACAACGTTGTTCGCTCTCAGAATTAGGTACACGAATTAACCCGTTCATACGGCACGATTCGTAATTCATAGTGAAATAATTCCTTTTTTCAAAATTTATGTTTGTTGATTTTAATGGGAATTTATACGAAAATACATGAAATTCTCACTAATATAAATAGAAGAAATTATTGTTTTTCTCCCAAAGATTTATTATATCATTAATTTTACAATTTTCATTCACGTTTTCAACTTTTTGTGTAAATGTTGATGTTTTGAACATATTTTTGTGTTTTTTCATTTTTAAATTCTGCTGAAGAGACACTTGTCAAACATTTTTTCTGCCGATAGAAACATTTTGAAAATATTGACTATTTTGTTTGCAGTTTTCTGTAGAAATTTTAACTCGTGGACAAAATGCGTACCTCAAATGAGAGAGAAAACAAAATTTACTTTCGTTTGAATGTACATACGCCATTCAACATTGTAGTTTTCATTCATAAATTTCAGTCTTCCCAAAAATTTTTAAAATTTCATCAAATTTTTCTATTTTTAATTTTTAAATGTCATAATTTATTTTTTCGATAAATGCTCTCATTTGTTAGGGATGGGACATATTTTTTCGTTGTTCTGAGAGTGATTTGATTTGAACAACGCACAAATATGAGTGTTCGCTCAGGAAATTTTGTGTGAAGAATTAGGTAGTTTTTTCATAGTTAAGGGTCAAACAACGAATAGAGAGCGAATCAAGTGCAGTGGAAACGCCACATTACATTAAAAAGGTAGGTAAACGCTAATCATCAGAATTAGATTACAAACTTATAGTCAACGTCTATGTGAGGTAAGACAGAAGACTGCTTTTGATAACAATTTGACAATAAACTTTGTAGTTTATTCATCGTGCTTTGACTTTCTGTGAATTTATATCTTTCTGATAGAAAAAAGTGATGCTGTCGGACACATAAATCGTTTTTCGTTGTTACAAGTTTCATTTAAGTATGAACTGTCCGATAAGCAAAAGATCAGACCATCTTCCCTTTATCTTTTAACGTAGTTTACTGAATTCATGTAGCCATATTTTATATTGATAATGTGGCAATAACAGCAAAATTTATTTAAATAAAAAGTGGATAAGGTAAATCGTTTATTCTATATTGAAGAACTGAATTATAAATTTATTTCACGAAAGGAAATAAAAATTCGTTTTGTTAATTATTTTTAAACTAAAATGAAGGTGGCATTGTAAAAAAAATGCAGGGACTACCAGTTATTTTTACAAAAAATTGCCATATCCCTGTAAAAAAATCTAAAGTATGGGATAAAGGAATGATATAAGAAAGGAATGATATAAGAACGGGCCATAAATTGTCAATGACATTTAACAAATGCTCCGCTCCAGAATCTACAAAAATATAATTACTGTAATAACTTTTTTATGTATAATACAAAAAAATGCAAAATTAGTAAAATTTGGCATATACCAGTACTGATCAAAAATTAAAAACAAATAATCAAAAAAGAGAGTTTTTTCCATGGAAAAGTATACGAGGTAAATGTATGCTAAATTTTGATAATATTTCATTGACAACATCCAACTTTCAAAATTAAAAATAATAATTGAAAATAAATAAAAAAATTCTATTTCGAAATGCGTTCCCTGGCAAAAATATAAATCGTTTATGATTTTGAAATTTCCGGCATCTATATTATATAAAACAAAATTTTAATAATAAGTAATAGATCACAAGAATAATACGAATTAAGGTGGGAATACATAAAGCGCTTATCTGGCTGGCTTAAGTCATCGGCTGTCTTCTTCGGAAATGAAGAAAGGAGACTAGGGCCAAATCGAACTAAGTCAACCTAAAACTCCTTTGTTCATCTACGAAGAAGCTAGCCGATTAAAGGTGAGAACACATAGAACTAGTTTTTTACTATCTTAAGTCATCGGCTGACTACTTCGTAAAAGAACAAATGGGTAGGTTGCCTTAGCTCAATTTCGGGCCATAATTTATATTTGTTCGCCCTATCATTCTTTGTTCTGCATACGTAAGTTGTCTGGTCCAGAATTGCAAGAATGTAAAAATGTTTACTACGATAACTTATTTCACCTTTATGATATGTGATGTGAATATGGAGTTTATCGGGTCACTCCTTCTCATACCTCCTCCACACAAGGTTAATGCTTTGATTAATTATTCGCACAAAATTGGAAATAAATGTTAGCTTTTGGTAACTGGGAGCATGGCTCAGTAAGAAAGGTTGCTCAACTTCGAAGAAACTGGAAAAATGCAGCTCTGTGCTGGAGTCTTATAGTGTCAAATAGACTTTTATTTTTCATTTTAATATTCTTATATATTTTTTAATATTCTTATATTGGAGAAGACCCGCGAAACAAGAATGGAATTTTAGGGTTATTCCACATGATTGAATCTAAAATAGTAGGACAATACAGTTTTATCCCAATGTTGTACAATGTGTTGCCCCTTTAAATCGAAAGTATGCATTTATTTTGCAGCCGAATTTGAAATAATTTCAGATTATTGTATTTTTTATTCAAAACATACACACACATACACAAAATGTGTGATAGAATAAGACCAAAATAAAAAAAATTGTATTTAGGTGGTAGCGATAGATTCTTCGTGGATACACCCATGGCTCAATAAGAAAGGTTGCTCAACTTAAAAGAAACTGGAAAAATGCAACCCTGTGCTTGAGTCTTATAGTGTCAAATAGCCTTTTAAATATGCAACAATTGGTTTTGTTTATTTTTCATTTTTTTTAAAAAATCTTATATTGAGAAAACTTACGAAACAAGAATGGAATTTTAGGGTTATTCCATAAGATTAAATCTAAAATAATAGGACAATACAGTTTTATCCCAATGTTGTACAATGTGTTGCCCCTTAACGTCGAAAGTATGCATTTATTTTGCAACCGAATTTGAAATAATTTCAAATTATTGTATTTTTATTCAAAACAATACACATACATACACAAAATGTGTATATGTTTTGACAGAATAAAAAATTGTATTTATGAGGTAGCTTTGTTCTACTTTCTGTAATTGTGCCATGGATACTCCCTTTTTAACGTAAGCTTTTTTCTTTTTCTCCTTATTTTTCACTCTATCAGGATGATCACAATGGACCAGCAGGTCTTCGAGTGGAGCGGTTGCTAAGCAGCCGGCTGGCTTCTTCGGGAAAGAGGCTGGCCAGCCTCCCATAGGGTGGGTGGCTTCTTCGTAAATGAACAAAGGAGTTTTAAGTTGACCTATTTCGATTTTGGCCCTAGGCTCCTTTGTTCATTTCCGAAGAAGCCAGCCGATGACTTAAGTCAGCCAAATATGCGCTTTATGTATTTCCAGCCTTAGGGTGGGAATACATAAAGCGCATATTTAGCTGGCTTAAGTTATCGGCTGGCTTCTTCGTAGAGGAACAAAGGAGTTTTAGGTTGACTTAGTTCGATACAGGTAGATGCATCAACGCTTGAGAGCATTGGAATGTCAGCAGCTGTGTCGATGCATCTACCTGTATTCTTCTACCATTTTACCTGCACTGTAAGTCATCGGCTGCTAACTCTGCGGCTCATTTTAGTGAATCATTCAGCTCATTGCGTTTTACTCATGTCTTGTTCGTAAACAACAGAAATTCCTTATTGCTCCGCCTCTCGTTTCCTTTTATTTTTCATCGGCCATTGTGTTTTGTTATTATAATTTGTTTCGTTTGGAACGTTTTTTATTTGAGTATTATAAGAGCAACAAGGGCCGGTTGTGGAACCTTATCTGAACGTTCCAAAAATTCTTATAGGCCATTCCAGAAGGTTAGATATTATTAGAACTTGAAGACTACCACTTTGAAGGCAATTTCGTACAAAAAGGTCGTGACGATAATCATAATATCGACTAAGGGGAAGTACCGGTAGTGTTGGCTATTCTGAAGGATTGGACCAAATAAAAACTTAAACGAACCTACCGAGATCTTCAAACAATAAACTTGCGACAATTCTTTGGAAAATCAGGACTAAAGACATTAGAATATCGAATATCGTGATGGGGCCATGGGGATATACGAAGAATATGTTGGTTCACGTTTTTCAAAGTGGCATTGGTACCTATTACGAACTTTCCAAACCGAATTCCGTCCATTCCAATTGGAAAAATGTGCAAGAATCATTAAAATAGCAAGATATACCATTACATGAAGGCATAAAGATAATGTAAATCCAAAAAATAAGATACTAAAACCCAATATGGACAGACAAAAAACAGACAGAAAGAAGTACAGACAGACGGACAGATATACAATTACTGGGTGTTTAATGGTTATTTTCAGGAGTTACAAAACCAAGACATATTAATGTATCCTCCATACTATGGATATGCATTTTATTTTGTTAGCGGCGAGAAATTCAGTTACAAGTGGTGCAAACCTTCCAGTATGAACAACCAAAGTTGGTCACGGCAGGACTGGACGTAATGGTATGATATCATGACGATCTGTTGCATTTTACACCACGTGTGCGGAGTTATTTCTAACTAGCTCCAATCGTTCTTAGAGAAGTGAATTTGCAACCTGCGCAGTATATTGTTAGAAACAAACCTTATTTGCGAGTGGTAGCCAACACTTGCATTTACATGACAAAAGGTATTACAACTGCAAGCGTTTAAATGAGAACAACGTAAAAGTAGTCACGGCAGGTCTAGTGTACGTTGTTTGTTTCATTTATCCTAACAATCTGTTGCATTTAAAACCATCTGCAGAGCATTTACTACCAATCTCCAATCTTTGTTAAATAAGTAGAATTGTGACCTGCGCTGTATTGTGGCAAACAAACTTCTTCTGCAAGTGGTAACCAACATTGGAATTTACATGGCACATGCCATTGCAAGTGCAGGCTTTTGAATGGAAACAACGTAGAAGTGGTCACGGTAGTACTGAACTGTAAAGGTATATGTAGCAGGAAGTGAATGTGCTCGACAGAAATAAAAGCAAGCAAAACAAATATTAATTTTTCTGATCCAAGAAATTAAAACAGAAAGTCAACCATTCAATGAATACTCGCATGTAATGATTGGATTTTAAATTTGTAATAAATAAAACCACCGTTGAAATTTTCAATTAAAAAAGGCACGTCCGTTTGATTATTGATTATTCTTAAATTTATTGTTATCAGTACATTTATTTTAGGGCATTTAACTTGCCATGGAAGAGTTTAAATCGATAACTCCGACCACATCGGTGGTGAAAATATCTGCATGTTTGGAAAAAATATTTCGTAAAATTGTGGAAAGCCGCGAAAAGAAGATCGCAGAACATAATATTAAAGAAATTGAATTTTTAAAATCACAATGCAAAGCAGAAAATGTTCAACTGGGTTTAATGAGCTGTCAGACATTTGTGCGGTTGGTGGAGGACGGTGTCTTGGAGGCCAACAATGTTTTGCCCATGTTGTTGTCCATGTTGCCAAATTCTAGGTGAGTATTTGGTGTATTTTATAACTACTTAATGTTCTATTTAAATTTCGAAATTATTTTTAATTAAAAAAAATAATAAAATAGTTTTAATTTCTCCTATTGTATACCTAAGTTATCTTTAAAATACCAATTATTAGGCGGTAGGGCTACTTTGTGTTTTTATTAAAGTCTAATTTGTTTTAAATTCTTTAAACATGCTCTTCATCTGCTGTTGTTGCTGGTTTGGCCTTTGAACGATAATATACAGTCTGAATTTTCGCTGATACTATAGACTCCTACTTTTTTTAAATTTCTCTTAGGGATAAATTTGTAAGCATTTCTAGAAGCGAGGTATATTCAGAAGAGGGCACACAGATAAACATTTTAGTTTATTATGATCGCGTTCTTGCACAGAATTATAGAATTATAATAATGTAGAACAAAGGTTAAAACGATTGCGTTGGGAGAAAATGTTTTACATTATGTCCGGAGTTTGTAATAAACATGTAAGTTTTAGTAACAGTGATGTGAATGGGAAAACAAAGGAAAATGCTGTGAAAATTAAATGACTCGTTCATTATCGGAGATGTTCCACAGTGCATATCTTTGTGTTAAGTCAATTTTTCTAGTCCATTCAAAAAACTCCGGCACATGTACGCTTCTCCATTAAAACAAATAATTTAACATATTTAGTATTTATCCACAAAGGCTATAAAAACCATTTTTGATATAGCGAATATATGAACGAATCATATACAGATGAGTGCAACTTTCCACATTGTCTAATGAAGAGATGCTGATATGAATCTAATTTTTTTTTTGCTATCATCTTCAAATGCAAGAGGTTCCCCTGTATCTCCAAATTTAGACTCATCTATATGTTTTGCTTGTCTGCGGTATTTGGCTATATTCGTCAACCAAATCAACATGAAAAAGCCAGAAGTTCGTCTTTTGTGTATTTTGGATTTTGCCTGTAAGTTAAGTTAAGGGTTTCGGTAAAATGGAAATGGTGGAATTTTTTAACACAAAAGTAGTGGTCCTTCTACCCGTTGTCTTAAATTCAAACTTCCTGCGATATTTGATTGCCTTTCTATTTGTGACCTTTATAGTGGCTGCAGAATCATTTTTAGTTGTTGTTCCATTTAACCCCAAAATATATTGCGGACATCTTTAAATACAATAGGCCTAGCACTTCTGATCTAAGCCCTACCCATATGAAAATGTTCGTGAGGATCAGACAGTAATTACAATATGTATATAATACATTGGAATATGTGTATAATGTACACTTCAATATTATAAGTCAGATTGAAAAAATCGCATACAATAAAAAATACGAAAAAATCACAAAATACTACAGAATCTATGTATCATTATTGGCACCTTTTTATGCGATTTTTTACATTTTATTCTTTTATGCCAAGAAGGCATTCTGAATTGGCAAAATTTGTCAAAATCGGTCCAGCGATTCTTGAGATATAAGCATTCTAGTTAACATTCCTCTCATTTGTATATAATTCGCGATATATTTACTATCGGCATCTAAGTAAGAATTGACCTCTTCGATCTCGCGGTTTAATGGAGAATTTGACTTCTATTTAGCACAAATGATATGGTCTATTTCACCCACTAAATATTACTCGATGACCATTAGAGTTGGAAGGCTTCTGCCCAGCCCTAAGATCTAGCCCCATGTTAACTTCCGTGTCATTTAGTCTATAATTGCGACTTGTAGAGCAACTGCAAAATCAGGAAAATTTTCAGTTTTTTGTAAGCAATAGGTTTTTATTCTGACCAAAACCCCACCTCTATTTTCAATTTCGTGAGGATCGTCCCATAATTACGACCTGTAGCGTGATTACAAATTAACATGGACAGACGGACGGACATATTACGTTTACATTTTTTGTATGACTTGTGCGGACGCATCAAATGCTTGCCATACATAATGTTTGCTGGGTACATCAATTTTTCCATGGGATACCAATTTACAAATTATTTACCAAAAAATATTGCTACTACGCATGGATATTTATTTCAGCATGAACGCTTAAGCATATAGCAAGCGATTGAAATAAGTCTTGCCATGTTGGTACTGGCGCCCAATTCCTCCTCTATGATTTGAAATATATTGCAAATCTAATTTCAACCATTGTACTTAACGACCTACTTATGTGTATGGGTGCTTAAAGTTAGCGTCTTATGTCCTATACGAACTGTGCTCAGTCACGGCGCGGCACACACACACACATTCACACTTAAACAACTAATATAAGAAAAGCCAACGACCATTGTTGGTCAAGGTATGCCAAGTAGTTGGAAACGGAAACTCTAGCCATAAAACATGACCCAAGTAGGAAGAACTTCGTGTTGTTTTCGTAGACATGAAAAATAACACAAAACAAAAAAATCACGGCGAAAAACGCTTAAAATGAAATGTATAAGAGAACAATGCCAACAACACAAGACGAACAAATTGTAAAAAAAAATCAAAGAGGAACGTAGTCATTAGCAATGGAACTGTTAATCTTCTAGAGTTGCTTGAAAAAAACTTCAAACCAACAACAATTACATTGTTCAAACAAAACAAATCAAGGGTGGCAAAGACTTAGCGGATAGTGAGTGGTAATAGGAAATTTGATGTAATTTATGCTGAGGTTTATCCTTGACATCAACATTTTTCTTTTGATTTGATTTTCGTATCATTAAATAACACTTGAGTAGTGTTTTTGTTATGGTAACACATATTTGCTACCATGCATTATTAGTTATTAAGTGCATCAACAAAAAGCACGTTATTAAATGTAATAAGAAAAATATGTATATACCTCTTGTTTTTTTATATTAATTATGACAAAGGAAATAAAATAATTTATTTGAATGCTTTGGTACTGCATATCAGATTTTAGTAAGATTTTAAATGTGTTTTGCGACAGATCAGTTAGGAAGTAATGGGTTGGGTTATATATGCATAACTATTTGTTTGTGAGATCGGCACCTTCAAACATGCAAACATAATTTATATCGAAGAAAGAAAAAAACAGGGTAGGAACTGTACTGACCAGCATCTCTATAGATAAACTAGAACTTATAAAGACGGCTCTAAGATGTAGAAAAGCCCTAGTGCGTGATTCGAATACGACAATCCACATAGAAGCCCTTTATATTATACATGGATATGTTTAACTATACCTGGGTACTAAAACGTAATGGGAAATGAAAAAGCTGAAGGTGGATCTCAGTTACCCGAGCTGACCTCTTATTTGAACAAAACCAAAAAAACTGCTTTGAGAAGGCATGGCACACGAAGTCTACATGCAGGGAGATCTGGCCGAGCATATCCTGAAGTAGAACTGACTCTACTATCGCTATATAATGGTGTTATAAGATTTCTGACTTTAAAACAAGAAGATAGTGAAAATACTACTGTAGATTTTATAGAAATGAGCAGGAATTAGGTACTGTCGAACGTTTGGTTTGTAAGTTTCCTATTCCCTATCGCAGATATAATATAGGCACTCTCACCTTTTAATAAGCCGTAGATCAATCCACATAAATTTTAAATTTGCAAAAAGTCTACATTGTCTTTGAAGACTTCATTGAAGACTTCATTTTTTTCCCAATTACATCGCTTCAAATGGATTACGTTTTGACTAATAATAAAAGCACGGTCTGGTCTGCAAGAATTCAGGGATATGCTGAATCCAAAGCAAAACAAGTTAAAAAGCAGTAATTACGGCCGATCCGAACTTTGAGTACCCTCCACTATTTGGAACAAATTTTGAAATTTTCAAAAAAAAAAAAAAAAAAAATAAAATCCTTAAAAAATTATCTTCAAATTTTAAAAATACCGAATATAGCCGTTATATTGGGGTCTTTACGACGTGGACCTACGTAGGCATCGTTTGTCATAAGCCATTACCATATTCAAATTCGAAACTTGAAATAACGGCGAATAATGTAGCTAAAATCATCAAAATATAATAATTTTCTGTCACAGGCTGTAGCATCCATTACGAACCTCAAACAATTCGGTGAGTATTGTACCTAAGATCGTCAAAATACCGAATATAGCGAGGTACTGATGTATGGGGTCTATACGATGACCTGGATCTGCATAGACAATTTTCTGTGACAGACTGTAGTTCCCGTTACGAACTCTAAAGACGTAATTTGAAACTACTCCGCTGAATAATGACACTAAAATCATCAAAATACCGAATATTGGGAGGTACCGTTATATGGGGGCTATACGAAAACTTGGACCTAGATTGCCCACTTACGAATTTAACCTGCCTACTGGAAAAATAACCATGTGCAATTTTTAGCCTTCTATCTCAATTCGTTTGAAAGATAGCGTGATTACAACAGACAGACAGACGGAAATCGCTAAATCGACTTAGAATTTTACGCTGATCAAGAATATATATAATTTGTTGGGTCTGGCATGAGTATTTCGAGGAGTTACAATCCAATGTTCTTTGTTGTTGCCGTAACAACAATATATGTGTTATTCGTTTCTGTTCATCTGGTTAACACTACAAGTTCGAGAATTCAGTAGGGTTGGTTTGGAAGGGCATTTGAAAAGCTGGCAGACGTTTCGCACATCTTCATCAATACCTACCTAATGTCAATTTATACGCCTGCACCGTCGTTCGTTAAAGTATCCCTTCACAATCTTTCAAAATATGAGTTCAGTTATGTAAGTTTTATAGATTAACAAAGAGGAAGGGACTTATATTTTATACACATTTTTCTATGGATGGACTGTAAGAAAAAAGAAAAATGTGATACCCTATAAAACTTTATAGATCCAAAACCATTTTAGTAGATTTTTTTAAATACTGCCATACAGCCCCGCATCTTTTCAAACCTTTGATTTTTGAGCAGGGTCTTCTATCCTTTATTTACGCTCTCTGTTGTGCTGATAGCTATTCAAAACAATTTCACACAAAAGTTGTGGTCCATTTTATCCGCTAAATATAATCCAATGGTCGTTCTTAATGCTAGACTTCTGCCTGTCCTAAACCCTCACTTCATGCTAAATTTCGTGTCGACTGGAAAGTCTTAATTTCTTGTGGTCCATTTTATCCGCTAAATATAATCCAATGGTCGTTCTTAATGCTAGACTTCTGCCGTGTCCTAAACCCTAACTTCATGCTAAATATCGGGTCGACTGGAAAGTCTTAATTTCTTGGTAATTTGAACCCCTAAACATTTTGCGATAATTTCCCACAACAATAGACCTCTATTCTGGTCAATAGACCATAATTGCGACCTGTACCGTGATTACAATTTAACATGGACACACACATGGCTAGATTGACTCAGCTCGCCGAGAAAGGAAGAACCATATATAACATCCAATGTGAGGGACCAATATTTCGAGGTATTACAATCGATCTCATAATACTCCTACAACTTTTTTGCAATATTAAATTTTTAATTTGTTGACACAAACTTATTTGTGTTTTGCATGTCCTTCATGGCAGTTAATAAACTGTCAAATTGCAAACTGGGCAAATTACAATACGACGCAATCAAGATTTTATTACAAGGCGTATGCCGTAACGTTTTGTAAATTGTTAGTAATTTATCAAATATTTATGGCATACCATAAAAATTATTGCTTTTTATTGTGGGTGTCGGCAGAAACCACCATTTTGCAGATGGTGGTGGATATGGCACCGATTGAGGGCAACTTTGTAATACACCGAAAATATTGCAATTCATAATTAATGGTCATTACGACATGAAATATAATTTACCACTGTCAAGGGTTTGGAGCACATTCCATCTGAACTGCGTTTTTGTTTTCTTGTTTTTTTTTGTGCGCTTTTTCAAATTTCTTTCCCAGTACGTGTACCCTGTGGTGGATGTACATTTGAATTATATTTTTCATCGTCTTATAAAAACGTTTAGCTTTTCATTTAAGTTTTTTTTTTCGCGACCAAAGTTCTTTGCTTAACATTGAACTTGACTTTGGTGTTGTTATTTTATAGAATTTCAAGGACATCTTGCGGTTACTGAATCACAATCAATGTGCAAGAAACAAAAAAATTCACTCACAATTGTCCTTGAATATAAACTTTAATGGAATTCATATGGCAATTTGCAATTTAGCTGGGCGTCTAATATTCAGACTGAAAGAAAAAACAGCAAAACTAGAAATCAAAACTAATTGCATAATATTAAGTGCCTTTCAGTGGCCTGCTATATGACTTGGCCACATAGGACTGTAATAAAGAATAAACGCATATTAAGCGTTGATGTAGATATACTCCAACTGGGAACTACTTATTCAAGAGGAAAAGGAAATTGCCTTGGCAGTAAAGTGGCTTTTATCATGATTGTTCTCTTCCACTGGTAGCATTTAATATGCAATTGTGCGGTTTTTTGTTTCTAACATTTACTGTGTTTTTTTGATCTGTTCCCAGCTGTTTCATGAGGTGTAATGAAAAATTACCATATGTGATCATAATCCGTAATAAACATGTTACGCTTATGATGAACAGGTCATAACGTTTCTCACTTACATTTTTTACAAATAGACGGGCTAATTGCTAATTTGTTTGTTGGTAGGATACATATTGTGAGAAGTATAGTTGCGCCCAAGCCAAAGTAGTAAAAAATACATTGAAGTTGCAGTTGCTGACCGAAACAGAAGTGTTGTCATTTCGTATCAAAATTGTATACAATTGGCGGCTGATTGTATTTCTATGTATATAAGATTTTCTAAAAACTGCAAGACTTCCTGAAATTCTTAGTTCAGGCATATAAACGTGATAAAAGAACAAGGAACTATATGATGTCGCCGATGTCATGTACTCTAAGAAACAACAGTTATTATGCAAAATAAAATCGAATATGATATCATTGAGAGCTAAGTTAGATTATTGTATCCAGTTCTTAAGAATAAATGATAGTTAATAAGTTTAGAATCAAAGCAAAATTCAAAGTGGAATATTATTGGGAACCTTCTGATTCAAATTAAGGGCCTGTTTCTGCACGACCATTCGAAAGTGAACCCGAAGGAAAAATACGAATTCTATGTATTTTTTAAATTAAATAAAAGCCCAAGACCTATATAAAGTCGGCGAGGAAGCGAATTCGTAAAAAATACATATTTTTCTATTGAGTTTAATGTCAAATCTTTGCTTTTTTCTAGGCGAAAAAAACTTGTTTCGCCCCTTAAAAAAGGAAAATAAGTTAGAAAGCATGGCCTTGACATAAGGTCGGCCTGTAAGCCCATTTGACAAACAAGTTTGCCGTCAAAAGACATATTGTGATTTAAAAAATCAAAGAGGGTCAAATCAAAATAGTGCAAAAACTGCCAAGTTTATTGTCAAATCATTGTTAAAAGTAGTCTTCTTGGCCGAGCTTATGTAGGCCTTGTTAGAAAGTTGAACTTTTGTGTGGAAAGAGCCAAAAGGAGCTGGACGATACATTCCATATTCACAAAATTTGGAAAGAATCGTTGATTTGTGTGGAGATCTGGCAACACTGATATTGAGTAGTTAAGTTTCTATGGTATGAAATTGTCATTCGAAATCTAAGTAGGCATGCAAAGGATTGTATGATTTTGGGTTTTCGAGAAAAAATAAAAAGAATTAAATTGAAAAACGATTAAACTTAAAACTGTGTGTGTTTGTGAACCGCGGGTCATTACATTGGCGACGAAGGTAAATATTTAATTGAGCTGGAGGAATGCAATATTAATTGCATCATATTGTAAGGAAATTTCAAATTCCTTTGCATTAAATTGCAGCGAAAAGACATTAAATTGTCGGCGTTGACTGATAATAGTCATCTGAAAAAAGGAAAGAAGAAATATGTAAGTGCAACATTTAATTGTAGCAAATGGAGAGACATTTAATTGTTTTGCATTTAATTGCAGATAAGGAGAACTTGGGACATTAAATTGTCGGGACATTAAATTGTCAGAACATTAAATTGCAGGACATTAAATTGTCGGGACATTAAATTGTCAGAACATTAAATTGCAGGACATTAAATTGTCGGGACATTAAATTGTCGTCGGATTGCATTACATTTAATTGTAAAGACGTTGGACGGCGTGAGTCCGAGGTTGTGTAAAGAGATGAGCTCGGTCGGTATATCACCTTTCCTTTGTGATGCCATAGATAAGGCACTTCTGCGAACAGAGTGGGAAAAATGGTATCGTTCATTTTCCATATATTTGGATGCAGAGGAAATAAAAGACACTGCGAAAAAGAGGAACAAACTTCTGTACTTGGGTGGCACACAACTTCAAGAGGTTGTATACAACATTCCCGGAGCACTTGTTGAGTCTGACGATACAACTGGAGGTGTTGATGTGTTCAAAATTCTGGTAGAAAAACTCAACGTATATTTTTCACCAGAAAGAAACTCAACGTTTGAAAGACACCTTTTTCGATCGCTTAAGCCTGAAGGAGGTGAGTGTCTGAACAAATTTCTTGTCATTTCGGTGAGACAAAACATGAGATACTGGGTATAAATATAAAAGACAAGCTAATTGATAATTGGGCCCCAAATGATTTAAAGAAACGACTCCTAGAAAAAGAATATACACTCACAGAAACCATCGAAATGTGTCATGCCCATGAACAGATAAATAACCAGACAGAAACAATGAAATTGGGCAATGTATCTATCGATATTAACAAGATTGAATCAAAGAATCAACAGATTGAATGTGGCAGATGTTGTCGGCAGGGGCATGAAGGTACAAGTATTGACTGTCCTGCTAAAAATTCAAAATGCAACAAATGCGGGCTTATTGGACATTTTGCTCGCAAATGCAAGTCGAAAGGTTTGAAACGCAAGCAGCCGGGGTTTGGATATACAGATGCGAAAAAGCGGAAATATTCAAACATTCAATTTGTCTCAAGTGACGGTGTGAAAGAAGTTGGATCTATGGAAAATAAGTGGAAAGAACACAATTGTTTCCAAATTGCAGAGAAGTTTAACGGGCACATGGACGAAATGATAGAGTGCTATATAGGGGGTCGGAAGATTCACATGCTGATTGACTCTGGATCACATCATAATCTGTTGAGTGAAGTGGATTGGGAATGCCTCGTTAATGGAAACGCCACGGTTTGGAATATACGGACAAAATCTGAGAATCAGTTTCGTGCGTATGCTGGAAACAATTTACTCAAGGTGAAAGCTGTCTTCGAAGCGGTAATTGGCCTTGATCCAGTTTCAAATTTGATCTCCTCATTTTATGTAATTGAGAACGGCCGTCAATCCCTGCTGGGTCGAGTTACTGCTATCAAATTGGGCGTTTTGAAACTAGGACGAGGGGTAAATCAAATCGAGAACTGTCATGTCTTTCCAAAAATAAGAGGCATTAAAGTTTCGCTGACAATTGACAAGTCTGTCAAACCTGTCCAACAGCCGTTGCGGAGAGTACCATCTGGCTTAGAAGAGAAGGTAGAGAGAAAATTGAATGAAGCTTTACAACAAGATATTATAGAACCCGTGACAGGACCCAGCCCATGGATATCTCCAATAGTAATTGTATTTAAAGGTGACGGGGATATCCGATTATGCATCGACATGAGACGTGCGATATGGCCATATTACGGGAAAATTATCCGCTACCAACATTCGATTCCTTCATGACCAAGCTACAGGGTGCTGAATATTTTTCTAGGTTGGATCTGAAAAATGCATACCACCAGTTGGAGTTAGAGGAAGAGAGTCGCGAGATAACCACCTTTATAACTTCAAAAGGCCTATTCAGATATAAACGATTATTGTTCGGCGTAAACTCTGCACCAGAAATTTTCCAAAGGATTATGGAAAGCATTTTGGCGCCGTGTAACTGCGCTATAAACTATTTGGACGACATTATCGTGTTTGGGAAGACAGAGGCTGAACACGACGGAAATCTTAAAGAGGTGTTGGCAGTTTTAGAAAAGGCGAATGTCATGCTGAACAAGGATAAATGTATTTGGAAAGCAAGAAGGCTACTATTCTTAGGCCACATTTTGTCTGACAAAGGCATAAATCCAGACCCTGAAAAATTGACACTATCTTGAATTTTCGTCCACCAACCAATAAAGAGGAATTAAGGAGTTTCCTGGGTTTAGTCACCTATCTAGGGAAATTCATTCCAGATTTGGCTGATCTTACGGATAAGCTCAGGAATTTAATAAAAAAAGATGTTAAGTTCGACTGGGGCCATAGGGAAGATGAAGCTTTTTTAAAACTTAAACAACAACTGGCCAGGACTCCAACATTATCATATTTCGATCCAGAAAGGCGCACTCGTTTGATAGCTGACGCAAGTCCAGTGGCCCTTGGAGCGGTTTTGCTTCAATTTTGCAACAACATGCCACAAGTCATATCATTTGCGAGCAAAAGTTTATCTGAGACAGAACGTAGATACTCACAAACAGAAAAGGAAAGTTTGGCTTTGGTTTGGAGCGTCGAACGATTCTACTATTATCTGGCCGGCATCGAGTTCGAATTGGTAACAGACCACAAGCCTCTGGAAACAATTTTCAAACCTACATCAAAGCCACCCGCTCGGATAGAGCGATGGGTGTTACGCCTTCAGTCATTTAGATTTAAAATAATTTATCAGGCTGGTAAATATAACATCGCCGACTCCTTATCCAGATTATGCAAAATTGAACATAATACGTCTTTTGATCAACAAACTGAAATCAGTATATGCTCAATAATTGAAGAAACCGTTCCACGAGCAGTGTCAATTCTTGAAATCGTGGAAAAGAACCAGTTAGATCTTGAGCTAATGGAAGCTGTCGAAAGCATCAAAAATAATTCATGGACTTCGGCTACATCCAACCGCTATTTTCCGTTTAGACTTGAGTTATGTACATTGGGCAATATTCTCCTACGAGGTACCAAAATCGTAATTCCTGGCCCGTTAAGAACGAGAGTTTTAGCGTTGGCACATGAAGGTCATCCAGGCGAAACGGTGATGAAGCGACGGGTACGATCAAAAGTATGGTGGCCACTGATAGATCGAGATGTTGAGAAACATGTGAAGAACTGTCACGAATGTTTGTTGGTGTCAAGACCACCACACCCAGCACCGATGACTCGACGTGTTTTACCAGAAGGGCCTTGGTTATGCCTAGCAATGGATCTGTTAGGACCATTACCAAACAATGATTTTATATTTGTGGTCATTGATTATTATTCAAGATACCAAGAGGTAAAATTTCTAAAGAAAATTACGTCAAACGAGATAATCAATTTTCTGGATGAATTGTTCTCTCGATTGGGCTACCCAAAGTCAGTTACCACAGATAATGGTCGTCAGTTTGTCAGTGACGAATTCAGGAGCTATTGCGCTAACAAAAACATAGAAATCGTGACGTCCCCACCCTACTGGCCACAAGCGAATGGAGAAGTAGAGAATATGAATCGCTCGATTGTCAAACGCCTGCGAATAGCTCATAGTAATGGAACGGACTATAAGAAGGAAATTCAAAAGTTCCTGCTAATGTACAATGTCACCCCTCATGGAACAACTGGAAAAGCTCCAACGGAACTGCTTTTCAATCGAGTAATTCGGGACAAAATACCATCTATATCTGATGTCGGTGAAAACATTTTGGATGCGGAAGCCAGAGACTTAGACGCGATCAATAAAGAAAAAGGAAGAGAGAAGGCGGACAAGGTTCGTGGTGCAAAACAAAATAATATTCAAGTTGGTGACAAAGTATTGGTGCAAAATGTGATTTTCCCAAATAAGTTGACACCGACATTTGGGAAAGAACCATGTGAAGTTGTCGAACGGAAAGGAAATGATGTCACCATTCGTAAGGATGGCAAGCTATACTGGCGCAACGTCAGTCACCTTAAGAAATTGCCTATAACGCCGGAACCGGGTGATAACAATTTGTTTGCAGATCGTGTTGAGACACAAATAGGTCAAGATCAGGTAAATCCAAGACTAACGCTGAAGCTGAAAAACATAGGAGGGATGTGGAGATCTGGCAACACTGATATTGAGTAGTTAAGTTTCTATGGTATGAAATTGTCATTCGAAATCTAAGTAGGCATGCAAAGGATTGTATGATTTTGGGTTTTCGAGAAAAAATAAAAAGAATTAAATTGAAAAACGATTAAACTTAAAACTGTGTGTGTTTGTGAACCGCGGGTCATTACAATTTGTATTTACTATGAGTGATAAATATTGAAAATTGTGCCCCTATGTGGTGGTGGTTCTTTATAGTGAAGGGCGACATCGTCCATTTTCGCACCTGACTAAGCACTGATACTTTTATTGGGATGTACAGAGTTTGATGATCCGATTTTGTTGTGTTAGAAAAATCGTTTCTTTGAAACGGAAGGAGTGGAGAGTTCCATTTGTGGTAAAGCTATAGGCAACAGTATAAATCTCTTACCAGATATCACCACATGACCAATGTTGATGTGTTGAGAGCATACAGAAGACGTTGGTTTAAACTCTACCTGGCAAACTTTACTCCATTCTGCCCGCGAAACTTCTTTCTTTGGGACCGAAAAAAGTATCCCTTCCAGGAACCACTCTCCTTCGGAATATTTTTCAAATTCTTATTTTTAAGTAAAAGCCGCACAATTTTCCTTTTCAGATGTTATTTATTTAGATTTCCTTTCAAAATCTTTAAATTACTTCTAAATGTTCTTGACATGAACGTTACAAATTTATTTTTGTATTTATAGGGCGAATTGGGCGAATTCAAAATATATTTTGACAGAAAACTTGGTTATTAGATGGTCCTCCTGGCCGACCTTATATAAACCTTGTAAATGCCCAAAATTAAAAAAAAAACTTTCAAGGAAAAGGGTTTTCCTTTGACTTTACTTCTGGCAAAAACAGGTCTCAAAAGACAAGATTACTTTAAAGAACTCCAGTAAAAGGTATACCTGAATTCCTCGAAGACATACTATAATAGATAGCTCATTTAAAATTGGACCTCCTCTCTATTCTTA